TTACCCATTAAACGTAAGTTGAAGTTTTAATTACTTAGGATTCTTCTAGTATTTTACAGACATGTTTTAAATACTAGCCTAATCTTCTAAACAAATCAAAAGCGGTATGAAATAGGAGTTGAAACAGTTTGCAATTAGAGAGTAAATTTAGTGTGAGATTCTGATAGGTGTAATTCATTTCTCTTCAAACTAGTCAGTAGTATGAGGGTTGGTTTCAAAATTCTATTTTATTAAATTATAAAACGTGCATTCCAACCAATCAATTATTTTTATCCCAAACCCGATTGCTCATTCGAGTAGTTCGAAGAACATATTTTTAAAATAAACTAGTCCCTGTGGAGACGAACTTGGAATATTTCCAGATTATTACTTGTGACAGTGTGCACTTGCACTCGTCCCTCTTGCTATTAAGCTGAGGCGCAACAACTACGAGTCACTCCACTAAAGACCCACAGTTGCACTCTTCTCACTGCATAATGTTTTTGTGTCCATGGATATAAAACCATTAATGACAAGTTAATCCTTCATGAGTGCTCGTAACTCAAGCTTGGTCAAATTATCGTTTTACCCATGAGTTACATCTTACTTCTTAAATACCACTGTTCCTCTAATGAACAACCCGGTTATGGTCCGACCAATAACCGAAAGTCCCTCTCGGGCCAATGAGAGGGTGGGACCCCTTGTTCAAGTCTCAGAGTCAGCATTTAAGAGAACACTCATCTACTCGCTAAAATGGTAGGAGTATTGAGTCGGCAACTCGGGCCACTCTCACTTATACAGATCAAAGGACGAGCCCACACGGGCAGGAGTCCATAACTCACTCAGGATTGAGAATGAGTTGTCTGGTCATCCTATGAAATAGCAATCTGTTAGTCAACGGCGTTACATCTAAAGATTGGCTATTTCGCAGTCCAGTCTTATACAAACTCATTGTATAGGATACTCCCACTCGCATGTCTCCACACAAATGATCTGAATTGAGTCGTCTGTAACATTTACAAAGTGGGCTGTATCCATAGTGTTGCTAGGATAAGATACCAAACCTTATCTATATACTATAGACCCTTAGGTTATTCATGGGACATTATCCACTTGTATATCAGGGGTATATCAAATATATGCCTAGTATATCAGAGGTATATCAAATATATACCCAGTATATCAAATATATACCCAATAGATATAGTGTCTCGGTTACATGATAATAACATTGAATGTTTAGTTTATTGAATTTTGGATAATGCAATGGTATGAATTCAACAACAAATTGATTAAATAAAACTTTGTTTTTACATAAATACAAACCACGAGTTTAGGACAACACACCCAACAGGTTTCACGTCGAACGCGGCCTTCGAGATGCTCTTGAGCACTCAACTACTGTTTCAGTTCTCAATCTAGACCGTTTGCCGAGAGACACGTGTACAACTTAGATCTCGCTCCTTTGCATATATATATATATATATACCCAAGGGATTTTTCTACATTTCACACTTCCAAGATTTTTCCAGCTCTCAAGCCGAGGTTAGTAGCTCATCCCTTCCTTGGAGCGGTAGTTAGCAATGTCTGATAGGTGTAGCGCTAATTCTAGGTTTAGGAGGGCGAGCTCGGAGGAGAGCTTTAGGTCACCCTTGGGGGAGGCCTGTTGGGACTTTCTATACCTTCAAAAAGATTAGAGACTCGTGTAAGCGCACACGGTCACAAGTAATACTCGGAAGTAATCCAAGGTCGAATCTTTAGGGACTTGTTGCTTTCAAAATCAAGTAATGCAGTGAAATGGTTTAAATATGCAATTGTGATCTAGGATGAAAAATGTGATGTAGTGTTGTTGTTTGGGGTTTTAACTATCAAGCAATGTAATAAAACTCAACCTCTTTGCTTTTTACCTTAGTTTTGATGTAAAACATGGAAAGCATGCTTTGTTGGAAAAATGCACCAAGTGCAATTCTAGCTTTTCTTGGGAAACTGAGTTCTACTTTTTCACTACCGCTTTTGGTTGCTGCAGAGGCTAGGGTAACCTACAATCATATGTCTATGTGTGATTACAATCCTAGAGAATAATTATCAACTCACTTGCATCATGGGTCAAAGGGCCTATATCTAGGACTATATTTTATACGCTTATGTCTAAGTCACATCCCATATTGGTTTCTTATTATTTTACCTAACTCACCATTCTCAAGGTTGGACTTTAGTATATAAATCAAGTTCCCACTGGCCAAATAGAAAAAAAAAAACGTAAAGAGAACTTTTTAAAAACCGACCCAAAAAAGTGCCAAGCGCAATTCTGGACAAATCCCGAGCGTGTTGAAAATCAAATCATTTTGACTAAGGCATTCCACAAAGAGGTTTATAACTAATTTAGAACATTTTTAAAGGAAAGAAAATGCACGAAAACATAAATGAAGTATTTTTCATTGAATTAAAACGAATAAACGAGTCGTATAATGAGTTCTAGCTTGACTCTCTTCTCTCTCGTTCGTAAGGGGAGTGTAAACTCGCTAAAGAACGTAAGAAGAACAGAATAAACGAAGAACAAAAGATAGAACTTGAAATTAAAAGCAATACGGTAAGCAAAATTATGAAAATACAAGGAAATAACAACTAA